ATCATGCTTTGAGGAACAGCAGAATACTACCAGTTATTATGCATTTTCTGTTGAATTCCTATAGAGGATAAAATACACAACTCCATAAATGCTTTTGAGAACAGCAGACATCCAACAGGGAGTAATGGGAGGTTAAATACCTGATATCAATGAGAACCTTCATTTCTCAGACACAGACTGTAAAGTGATGCTGTGTCATGGCACTAAGGGAAAATAACAATTGGCGGTAATTTATTTACTATCTCAGCCAAAGGCTGGCATAATGCAATAAAAACCTCTTTTATAACTTTTTCCCAGATTCTTTACAAATCAAGATTGTTTTGAACAAAATGATAATGGCATCTATTGCCAGTGTAGTTTTAATTAACATTATAGCTAGTGAAGGAGTTCGGGTTACCTTCAAGATAAGCCAGCCCTGTGGCTGTTCTTTTGTTAGAAGGAACAGACATCACCATGTTGATAACAAGCTGCTGTATTTCAAGCAGAAGTAGATTGAAGATAGAAATATTCTCAAAAGCTGAAAATTACTAGTATTTGTAGATGGACAGGAAAAAATAAAAATAAGCAGCTGATCAATATAGAACCAGTCATTTAACTTCTGTTAGTATTTCTTCATGAAGCAGAAAAAAAAAAAATCAGAGGAACAGTAGCTGTAGTCATAGGTCATTCTCACTGCCACATTTTAGCATATTGATTTTTTCCCCCCTCCCTCCGGTTAGGGATGGCCTAAATGGCTAAAAAGCTTTTGCATGCAGTCTCCTCAATTTCAGGGGAAGGTAAGTTTTGCTCCACTAGCAGTAATTTTGCAGTTAGTGATAGAAATGAACATTTTATAGGAAAGTCAAAAGTGGCAATTGTCCTAAGACCACTTTTACAGAGTGGTCAGAGTCATAAAAAGACTTTTCAGTTTACTTGGAAGTAGCAACATCTAAATATTTCCTTAAAATATTAATACGATGTAAACAGTACAAATGTTTTTGCATATATTTCTTTGCAGACGATTCACAGCAGCTAAAAACAATATTTGTATTTACATTTAACCTACTGGAAACAGTGCAAAGTAAAGATGAAAATGGGCAGTAGGAAAAGTACCATAATTGAGAAACTGCTCGTTTATCATACTTAATAACACTACTCAAACGTGAAACTCTGAAATTTCTTTAGAGAACTAAATAAGCAAGGATTTTAACTATACTATGAATTTATGGAAAACAAAACCTGTTACACAAACCTTTTCCTACTTCAAACTAGTTAATAGGACCTACAGTTACAAAAGGATACCAAATATCAAACTGAAAGACATTCGAAGCCTTCAGAGCTTTGTCTACACTATCTCTATTTTTTATTTAATCCAAGTCTTATTGATACAATAAGTGATAACAAGATTAAGGAGTTTATAATTAAAATACAGCAGATTGAAGCCTGAATTAAAACCTTCTTGCCTCATACATCCCTATAAAAATAATTTTTGTACTTAAGTAAAATTTTTGAAGATTTTTTGTCTTTTCTGCCACAATCAACTATTGTGCAAATTAAAATACAGTACATTTACCTAATGTAATAATGGACAGATGGTGAAGGAATAGATATTTTATATGAAATGACAGGTCTGTTAAACAGTAAAGCTTTTTTCATAGTTCTGAGATAAAGTGCTTCTTAATAAGGTATAGTAGTTGAGATATTTGTCTATTTTTAAAGCTTAAGTAGAGCTTAATCTCCTTGTACCCTCCTTTTTCCCCTCAAGGCACCTTCAAAATACAAGCAAAGCATTAAGCAGCTGTGAAGGATTAAACTACAAAAGTTCATAGTGGTGCAAGTTATCTACTAACTTGTTAGACAGTACCATCCATTACATCAAGGCTCCGCATTAGTTCTGGGGAAGAAGCTTTAAACACCAGATTTGAGAATCACAGAGATAAAATAGTTTTCTGAATAATACATTGCTGTGCCTTGGTATTTTGCTGTTGAATCTCATTTCTTTTTTCATTTACACAAAGCCAGATGTCACATTTTCATTTGTTCCATCCTCTACACTTCATTTAGAATTAACAGCCTATTAATGAATAGTTGACATTTATTAATATTTTTTTTTGTCTGAAGCTAACCTCTACTGTTCTACTGTACAATAAGATTATGCTTAATACTCTAAAAAGGAGATTTTGGATATGTTTAAAAAAATTGTTAGGCTGTTCTGTGGATACCGTAGTCCTCACTTCATATTTATTTTGACAAAAGGAATTATCTGCTGTAAGATTAAAATTGCAGGCAGGATGAAATAATATCCAGTTAATTTCTTCAGGTTAATTTAAGATTGATTCCTTAAAAGTAAGGCTTCTTTATAAAAGAAATTAAAAGCAAAGCATATCATAATTGATCCCCTGTATAAAACACTGAAATAGGACACATTTGTCATGTTTCCACAAAGATATTTCACACAACTTAGAAAGCAAGTAATTAACTAACATCAGGTAAAGCTTACAAAAACAGTTTAAGTGCTTGCACAAGGCATATGTGGCTAAACATTGTCTTCATACCACAGAACACTGGAAGCTCTATGAGCAAGAGGCATTCCATTAATGAAAAAAGGCACCCCCACCTACCCATCCAAATGCCATTCAGTTCATCTTGGCATCCACATCTCTTACAGAGCAAAGAAACTGATGCATCCACTCTGGAGCTCCAACCTCACTTGGAGCTCTTTAGGTCTAGCGTTTTATCACCACTTGTTCATATGCTCCAGATCCTACTCTGAAAGGATATTTGAAAGACATTAGTTCAACTCTGATTTAAATGGAAGTTAAACAATGAATATCAGAACAACAGTAGAGTATACCAGAAAAAAGGAGTGGGAACCTTGCATCAGAACAACAAAGTCTAAAAGTTAGAATAACCTATAGCATAATGAATTAAGAGGTTGTGTTACATACAATTAAGTACAAGGAACAATAAATAATGTTACTAAGACATGCAAAAGAAATTGTTGGACATGTCTATAGTACCTTAAGCATTTTTTTTTAGAGCAAAATAACTCAGCATTAAGATACTCGGCTAATAGAACTATTTTATCATATAAGTTGAAAAATGTAAAAGGGTTTAAAAATATTAAGTAGTCCTCTTACACTGAGGTACAAGAAAAGTGCCTTGTGTTCACATCTCAAGAATAGGTATACAGAGTAAGTGTTGTTTAAGACGCATTATTGTTCAGTAAGACCCATGGATTAATTGTTCAGACCACATACCTGTTAGGGAGATGATGGCTTCCAAAAGAAGTACTTCCACCAGGGCCCACAAATAATCTTAAACCTTCCTCTAAAAATGAAGCAAGTTAAGATATGTTAGCTTCCTTAGTTTTAGGTAGGTCACTATCAAAGTTATTTAAAATCTAAAAATTTTCTAAGTGATTCTCTCTGGTGCAAATATTTTGGACAATGAGGAACTGAACTTCATGGGCTATAGCATAGAGGAACTAAATTTCTTAAAAGATTTGCCCGTGTTCTTTCTGTTCATACTTAAGGTAATCCTTTGGAAAAGTTACTGAAGTCATGCAAGGGTTTGTCCTTTCAGTTTCTGGGAGACAGGCCCAAACAAGACATCCATATACATATTCCTTATTGCCACAAGCAGCAGGAGCTCTGAAAAAAATAACTCTAAGATCTGTAACATATATTAGCTTTCCTCAGTTTCCTTATTTCTCTCCGTACCTTCCGCACTGGAATCTAAACTGAAGTCTTGACTTTGGAGTATTTTTTCAACTACGTCATCTGCATCAACCCTGGTAGCATCAACCCTCTTGAGCTGGGACTCCACAGAGTCTTGCTTCACAGGTTGCCTGCAGAGATGACTGTATTTAGAGCACCAAGAAATGATACAATAGAATGCATTTTACTTCTACAAGATAAACATTTCAAATTAAATGTACCTGCAGTGTTTTTCTGATGACTCATCTTTAACAGATATATCAAAATTGGTTTCTGCTACTTTTAGGTCACTCTCTTCACATGGCTCTAGAATACTTCCAATTCCTGTTGAAGTGCTTCCCACAGAGGCATCTCTCCTGTGGCAGAGGTCAGAGAAACTGGATGATCTAGAGTGACATGTACTGTATCCTGTTGGGAAACAGGAGAGCTAGATTATGTACTCTGTCAACAGGCAAGGTCATATCACTTCAGGTCTGCTTTCAGGAAGATGAAAGTTGTGTTTGGTTTCTTGAAGAGAGACTTCAGGAACCTTTCAAGTGTACATACACACACAAACTAAGCAATTCACTTAAATTTATTGTATTATAGCACATGCTGTTTTCTCTGTTCTCAGATAACTTTGTTTAGCTTGGATCTGCTACTGTAGATGTTTTGATGTTAGAAAGGGGTTTTGTTATAAACTCTCCCCCCCACTTTTATTTTGTTTTAAAAGACAGTTCTGGATATGTTTTTCAAATCTAGCTCAAAGAAGTTTCATTATGGAAAAGTCAGCTTCATTTAAGGGATTATAATACAATAATTTATGAATTATCCATTTATTTTTGGTATAATTTCTCCCATGTGGGAAAAAAAACAGCATGAATCTGTCCTCTTGAGCTTACATATAAAAAACTACTGAAATCATCTAATCATACACTTTGGAACACATGAGCATTTCCAGGTTCACTACTAAAATTGTGGTGACTGAACAGTTTCAAGGCTATAGAGGGAAGCTAGCTGTTTTTCTGCAGAACCATTACTAAAAAGCCTCCTATCAAATACATGGTTTGGCAGTTTATTTAAAAAACAGAAAACATGTATTCAAGTCATCTTAAGTGATACCTGCTATCTCATTTAATGTACAAGTGATAGAAGATGGCAACATGAATCCTCAATCAGTCTATTCATTTAATAAATAACTTGCCTTTTTAACAAATACAGTAACTTGGTGTGTCACTACTTCCCTTTTAAGCTTTCTAGCTGAGCAAGCATCCATTCATGAGTTGATTTTACACACGCACGAAGGTGAAAATCTTTCAGACATGTTACTTGGTGTGACAAAGCTATGTCAAACCCAAACATATCATCAATTATGCTGAGGGGGGAAGTTACCCTCTTGACCAGTTCCCCTGTTATGAATCCCTCTCCAAACCTGAAACTCTTAAAAAATGTTTCAAAAGTTTTATTTGTTTCTTGCAGTTCTAAAATAGTGGAAGTTGGTAAGGAGCAACAATTCGTAGAAAAATTGCTAACAGCTACCTGACAATTTGGACTGCTGACTTGCATAGCTTGATGTTCTGGAGTGTCCACATGCACCAAGATCATCTGGGACTGAGGCACTCTTTGCTGAGACATCTGCAACACATGCAAGTAAGAACATTACTAAAGCCAGCAGTACTCATACTCTCACTGTATTTGTGACTATACTCAAATACTACATTTCCCAAATGTGATTAGGGACTTGACAACATTTGTTCTTTTGTTTTTAAATGAATCTCCCAAAGATTCAAGCGGTGAAAAAAAAAAAACAACGCATGTTAAGGAATAAGCACTTTCTTAAAATAAAGTAGCATCGTGGAAAACTTGGAATGAAATATAGGTTCTTCTACATTGCAGATATTAAATAGATGTTGTTTTCTGTAGTAAAATGAGGTTCTAGAAGTTTTCCAACTCAAATTTCACACAACTGACTCTAGTTAGGATAAGTTATATTGGGGGTAGGGCAGGAATTAACAACATGCTTAAGAGCCTGGAGCTTGTAAAAATAAAATTTCCATCTGTAATAGTGTTATAATTGATTTGATTCTTCATTATTTACATTTCAGAATAATTATTTACATTTTAAACAACACTTAGAGCTCCCACTGTTCAAATAAAATTACTTAAATAACTTTTAAAAAGGACATTTAAATGGCTTAAATCAAATTTAAAAGTTTAAGTCATTTAAGCTTTGGGGGATATGCATTGTTGAAGATTAAGAGCCAAATGGAGTGATCAGTCAAACTATATATCCAAAACAAAACAAGAAATTTGTCTTGAAGACAAAGAAAGTTTTTACCATTAAAAAGAAGCCAGGTTATCAAGCCCATTTCTCTTCTTTCTCCTAAATATACTGTATTATAAAAGTAAATGAGAGATTCCTCCAATATTACCTGGGAGAATGTCTCAGCAAATAAACAAAGAAAAGATACTTCTGTGGACCACCTTTCAGCATCCCTCTAAGATTAGAAGTTTTTGTAGGTCTCATTGAAAGCATGAAGCCAGTTAGCAAACAATTAAAAACAACATTATTTCATACCTGCCATTCCCAGATGTATTCCTTTTAAGTTCTCTCCGCCTTTCCTGTCTTCTTGCAAAGATTCTGATTCTCCAGGAATTGCTATAGACATTGCTGTGGAAGGAGGCCTGTAATAAAAGAATAGTTGAGATTTGCTTTATTTTGCTGTGATTCTTCCAAATTGACCAGTACATAGGCATAACACACTGTGCTTAATCATCTTGCAACATGGTCTGGCCTGAGAACATAATGCCTAACCCCTGGCTCAAGGAAGCTGTGGCTGTTGCCCTCGTGCATTTTGCAGAGTCCATCCATTCCCACAGTCCTCTGGAAGGCCTCTGAGCAGCCTTGGAAAGGCTCTTTTTGGATAATTGGTGGTTTCCCTCCACAATCACTTCTACAGCAAACAAGGAGATCTGGGTTGAAGCCTGCCCCCTTTCCTAACAGAGGCCTCTGGTACCAACTCCATACCCTCTAATTTAAATATCATATACTACATGATCAAAGAAAAATGACAAAGAAAACTTCCCTTGCAAGCAGTAAAATCAAACAACTAGAGTTTTCATTTTTTTTACCTATACTTGTCTTATGTAATTTTGACTTTTAGAACAGCCTATGTTGCTCTGCATCCAAGTAGGATTTGCTGACATTTTTGCATTTCATATTAAGCCATGTGCCCTCTTAAGTTTGAAAGTCAAGGGGTGGGAAGAAACAAGCACTCCTAGAAGCTTCCTATGCAAACATATCCATGCAACTCAAACATTTAAAAGCAGGACGGACTTGAATGCTTTCAGAAACATCACCCCAGATCAACCCTTCTGGACTTCATAAAATGTGTTGCCAATTACAGAGTGGGAAGTTGTTCAAAGGCTTATTTTTTCCTTCTACAAAAAAATCTGGATTAGATAATTTGTGTTGCATTTTTGTCTAAAGTTTGTTCCAGGAAATGATTGTATCATCAGTTCAGAAAAAAAAAGGGCACAACTGAGTAATTTCAGTCAAGAGTTCTCTTCCCTAGGGAGCTAAAAAAACTATGTAAATTTGATTTCAACTACTCAAATGCCAGCCAATGGAGAATAATAATGTACTACTTTATTAGCAGACAAGACTGATTAATTGCCTTTGAGAAACTGTTCATTCAATAGCAGTGACGTACAGCACTTATGTTAGTAGGTCTGACTCAAAGTAAATTCAGGAGTGTTCAGTAACCAGGGGTAAAGCAAGCTTTGCCCTAACAACTTCAGAAAACACCTTTTTGTTATTTGCTCAGTAAGCACAGGAAGAGATTTCACATTGTTTTATTCCTCTTATTTAAGAGGTAGAAGCAGAGAGGAGTAAGGGTCTTTAGTGGTGCAAAAGGACGCTGAAGAATTCCTGCAGTTACAAATCATCTGCATGAGACTGTTGCAGACCCTGTTCTGAGATGCCCTTAAGTCACAGTAAGGACATGGCCACGACACTAACACACGTCCGTAGCTGCTACAGCAAATGGTTGTTCTTGATTGTCCTATTAGAACTTTGGGACTAAATTTATCTTTAAGGAATTATTTAATCAAAACTAAACCTCCTTCAAGCACCCTGTTACAGTCAAGTTAGTTAAATGTGAGCCTGATCTGGACAAATTTGCTATCTCTACTTTCTTAAAGAACCCAAAACACAATGACATAGAACTAAACAGTACACATGTATTTAATACAGCCCACAAGTTAAGAGATGGAAGATGTTTCACATCTGAAACTGTACCTATGTGTGTATATGTACACATATGTACACATACGTACACTTTACATATAAAATAAAAACAGTGGCATTAAGAGTCTCAGGTTTGTATTCTGGTGTATTTTGTTACAGTATTCAGGTATTGGGGATTTCCCACACTGCATTCAGGAAAGCAGATTTCTCATGTCCCTGAGCCTGTCCTTGAAATGAATGGTGTTCAGGTTATTACCCAATACCTCTTATGACACAATGCCATGTTCCCCACTTGCTACAGATAAGGACTGCTAAGTTACCAGGTTAGTCGTGCATTCCCCGGAAGCAGGGAGCTTGCCACTTACAATAAACAACTAGTTACCCACTAAGCTGTGGGCTGACAAAATAGCTTAGGAGTCTAGAAGGCAATGATTTCTCACATCTGCATTTTCCTACTGCATCTTTTTCTGTCTTGTGTTTAGTTACAAGAGCTAACACTCACTCTAGCAAGAGAAATTACACTTCCCTAGCTACAGATTATGCAGAAGGAGGACAGAGGCCTGAATACACATAACATTTTCATGACTAGCTGCCTGCCACCTCAAATGTGACCTCCTCTATCCTTAATTGAGTTGCATGATGCCCTTGCTGCAGAAAAACCCAAGTGCTTTTTCTTATACCCAGTCATATCACACCATTTTTTAAATAAGGCTTTTAAGATTAATCTAAGACATGTGACCAATCACTGTAAGAATACATTTTCCAAACATATGGCTGAGGCAAGTTACCCCCAGACCTAGTATGTGTAGCTAGACTTAATGCAGGAACAGTGTTTCCCTCAAGCAGTTAAGCTTGATTCTCCACCATGATTACATGGTGGGGTGGTTAGGTGGGTGGGTGTAGAGGCACTTTTTTCTTGAATATTGTTTTCAGATTTGAGAGTTTATATATCCATTGGAAGTGCTATTCTTAACATGGGTTAACTACAGAGATTTCACTCTCTCCCACAGAGATTTCAAACTTACATTTTAAAACATGGGTCTCCAGACATTAGCTGCATATTGATCAAAACCTACAAATCAAGAACATAAAATTTATTGAAATATTTAAATATATGTATTTAATATATAAAAAAGATCTGTGGTATATGGTCGTATCACTAAGTTATACTTGTCAAATCTTACATTTAATAAAATGGTATCACATGTACAAGCTATAAACCTAATTAAACAACAATTTACATTCTTGATTTTATTATACATGTACACCCCACAAAAGAGCATACTATTATGTAGTTGCACTTACAAGATTCTGTAAAAAGATATGTAGCTCAAGGGAGAAAAAAAAAACAGTCATTAATAATAAATGATTTTCAGTCTATTTGTCCCTGAAGTCAAAAGAAAAGGTCTATGTACAAAAAGAATTTCTTTTGAAACAGTGGGTCAAGTATATCCTTTGTTTCCCAAAGGAAAACTACATTCAGCAAACTACCAGCACACAAGAACTGGCTGTGCTAACATCAGAAATAAAACAAAAGCCACAGAGGTAAATAATGCCATAGGATAACAATGCATTGAGAAAGCTTGTTGGCTAGGTCAAAGCTATCAATTTACAATTTTTTGGCCAAAGTCTATGATTACCTCTAAGTAGAAAGTGCCTAAAAAGCACACTCGGTGGGATAAAATTAATCCTTATGTTTCGGTAGGGCAAGAATTAAAATGTGCTTGTGGCATGCTGTAGGCTCTTATTTTCAGATTTACCCAGATTATTTCACTGTTTAATCTACCTAGGCAAATAGGACAGAACACATATTGAAGATAGTTTATATATAAGCAGGTCAATTCAGAGTCACTTTTAATGCTACATAGGGATTTGCCAAGCTATGTTTTAAATCTCATTAGATGCTTGACACCATGTTGGTTTTGGTTCAATAACTTCTTGATTTCCACTTTATTAATAAGAGCATGAAGGCAAAAAAAAAAAATTACTTTGAGAATGGAGTTATCCTGCCTTGTATTTTTGGTATCATAACCTTCCAGTAAACAGCGCCGAGTGGTATTTCCCGATCCGGCAAACTCTGCTAGGTTTAGGTCTGCAAAGCCCAGCTATTAAGAGAAAATAAAAATGTTAGCAAGCCTATTGCTACGTGAGAGCATCTGCTGCATGCACTGCACTGGGTGGCAGTCAGCAGCAGTTTCTCTCAAAGATGAGTAAGATGATGCCAAATACAGGGAGAGGCCCAAGACAAAAAGCAGAAAACAAGCTTTGAGTGTTATGCTCACCACACAGTAAAAGTAGTTCAAGTAGTTCAAGTAGTTTTCTATCAGCTGAATGCACATTTCTAGGCTAGCACTGTGGTCATTTAGAACTCTCTATTAGTGAAGTCCTTGACGTACCCCAGCAGGAGACAGTCACCTGGTGAGAAGAGGGCACTGCCTTAGAGCAGCCCAGCTTGTGGCTTCTGCAGAGTTTAGCCCCCAGTGGTAGGGACTGCTGCACATAAAAATGCCAGCACAACTCAACACAGCACAACCTTACCGCTGCTTGCTAGAAATACCAGTCACTTAATTAGTTCTTGACAGATAACTCCTTTGCTATCATGGGTAATAGATTTAATAAGAGCAGTAAAAAAACATAAATTAGTCAACCTAAGGCAATTAATAATAAAATTACCACACATTTTTTGACCAGAAGAGTATCGGACTGGTAACAGCTAGAATTTGTTTAACGAAGCCCACCAGCCATTTAAAAATAAAACCAAACCAAGTGGAGTAACAGTGGGAGGAGAGAAGGGAAGAGAAGCTGCTTACCTTGCGCACTGACACCCTGCAGATGCAAGTATCCAGAACCCCCGTTGTGGCACTGGCACTGATTTTACACATAAATAAGAACTTCTTCTTCCAGCGGACACAGTTTGCCTGAACTACCTCCCTGCAAATAGAAAAGATGCACTTGCATCAGTTGCGTGTACATTTGGAACCATAAAAAGCACAGGACAGTTTTAGGACAAAGTCTTGTTTTGCTGTTTGTACAGCAGTTGTACCACTTAGTGCATGCAGAGCTTGTTCAGAAGCCTGAATAACCATCCTTCATTCTTCTCTTGTGTAGAAAGACTAATAACTGTTTCAAGACTGGGACACAATTATACCTACAGAAAGATTTACAGATAAATGAGACCCCAATTTTGTGGTTTGCTGAGGGAGAGTGACATTTTTTCACAGTATCAGCTCCCAGCACACCCTTCCAGGCTGCTGAGCTGTGCAGTGCAGTCACGGAGTCACTCTTGGTAAGGAGTTTTTTTCCAATACTGGGAAAAGGAGCATCATACAAGCGGAACTCAATAGATCTGAGGACAACGAGGGTTTCAGCTACATACTGGGAGCTCATCATTGGAGAGCAACATAGAAAGACTAATGGTTGAAGCTTAACAAATCCATCTAGATTCGTCTTAATCACAGCAAGTTTGTAAGCCAACAATATAATGAAGTTGAGCAAAAGGCAAAAAAATGCAGCATGCTTTCTGCTTAGAGCTCAAATAGATCCCATGATTCCATTTCAGTAACACCAGCTGAAATTCAATTAACTCCAAAAGGAAAAGGTACAGACAGGGCAACACAGCTTTTGGATCTTATGAGAAAAAAATAAACCAAATTTTTGTTTATGTAGTCTTGCAAAAATTAGGATTGAGAAGAGGTAAGGTTAAAGGAAACTGAATGATTAAACCTGGGAGAGAAAAAACTATTTAAGCTAAATTTTAGGCAGTCAAGAACTAAAATCAGACACAAAACCCTTGAAACTGCAATTTAAGAAGTCTCTATTCACAGGTCAAGTTTCTAGAATAGTCTTCAAATAGGAGAAATAGAGCAAAGAGTATTTAAAAATTTCCATCTTCTGGTCAAAGGGGACATAGGACTGATGACCAACAGCTTTTTGCCACTGCCGCATTTTTAAGTTTCAAAGGAGAAAGTGTGATCACTTTTACTGCTCTAAGCACTTGGATATGAGCAATATTCATCCTTTCTAAATTTTTTTCTACTAGATTCCTATGTTTTATAATAGTTTTCTACAGAGGCTTATTATTGAAGATCCAGTCTGACATCTTTAATAGAGGTAAAATTATATGGTCCAGCTTAAATCAAACTCTAATGAACTTCTATCATTTATGGAAATACTGTCAATCAAAAGCATGACTTACAGGCACTGATCTGCTGTGCTGGCAAGGCTGACATCTATAGCACTCACTGGCACTTGCCCCGGTAGGGACAAATTGGCCTGCTTAAAATGAGTCCGTTTAATATCCATAACAGACTAACAGATTCTGATGATACAGAACTTACTCACTCCAGCACGTGACCTAAAAGGAACAGGGTCTGTATGCCATGATCTACCTTTTATCCATTGTTTCCCATATGCAGAGTCTTGTGCTTTGGAAAAAAATCCCAAACTCCCCAAAGCTATTTAAATCCAGCACCGGAATTGTAAAGGGACAGATTTTAAGACAAACAGTTACACTACTGGAAAGAAGGCCAAGCAAGAAGAAAGCCAAGTAGCATACAGGATATTTGGCAACTGCTAGCATTTGTTACACTTGGAGGTCTTAAATACCTACTCATCTTTCAAGAAAGATCAATGATATCTCAACTTGACCTTCGCTATCGTGCAGAAGACAGCCAATTGTATGGATAGCTGGATCTGCACATTTGCAGGTTTTGTACACTATGCTCAGAGCAACTCCTGAGTTGATCACTTTCAGAATAATCTTCCACCTCACAACAAATTACATTCAGAGCAGCTTAGAATGTACCAAAGCAGCAAAACACTAAATACAGCACATCTAAATGCAATATTAATGTAAATAATATCTGCTTGATAAAAATTTTTAAGGGCACAACGAAATTTATGAACCTGAATTTAGACACCAATGTAACTGCATGTATCATTGTTCAAGACAATGAGATACCATAAAAGCCTGATGCTTCTGGAAAACGGACAACATCTTAAGTGCTTCTCAATCTGCTTGTATCACAGGTCAGGACTTCCTGAAGCACAGTTAACTTAATAAACATTAAGTAGGATTATCAGACTTTTTAGTTCTCTTGTAAACAAGATAAAATCTGAAAATATCAGTTGCTGGTATAATTCTTGCAAAAGAAAATAAAGCAAAACCAAGAATATCCCTTCCTAAGGACCTAAAATACTTACTGTCAGCTTCTTTCATAGCAGCATTAAGCTTTCAACAAAAAGGCAGTTCAAAAACTTTAAGAATCTTATCTAAATTTGAAAGGCTTTTTTTTCCCCCCTATGTACAATCCTTTTTTATTTTTTTTTTGGGGGGGGGGGGGACATAAAAGAAAACAGTTACATTGATTGGTTACTATGGAAATGAACGCAGATAACTTCTTGGCACCTCTGCCTAGCTACAGAGCATGTTGGAGAAAGCTTTCCGTTATGAGTCAGTTTCCTATGAGCCTCACACAGTGACTTAACCACATACAAAGCAAAACCGGTTGTTTTATGAATCAAAACATGTCTTAGATACCAAGATGGATTCAATATGTACTAGATGGCAATGCTTCAGTGCAGTTTAAAAAGCATGCTATTAGTAAGACATAGCCAAGAATGATGCAAAGTAGACTATTTTCTGATAACCTATACTTCAGAGTCAGTTTAAGTTAACACTATTTTTACAAATTAAGTGTTTTTTCTTTAAGGGAAAAGTTCACACTGACTAAATTTCAAATGTGAGACTTCAGTTGTGAACACCCCCCCATTCTGTGCCCCAGGAAACGTCAAGTAGTTTGGCAATATGATCCTCAGAAGAAGGTCACTCATCCCACACAGTCTTCGTTTGGTTTAGATGCATCCAGTTCAAGTGTCCGACAGTCTAGTTTACACACAGCATTTTTTCTTTTAGTCTCTGTACTGTACACACAAACATGAAAATGTAAACAGTAGGATTTTTAGTTTAATTTGAAATATTTCCTCCTAAGTTAATAAAGGAGGTAAAAAACCATAGTCCAATATGAAGAAAAAATCATGACTGTCCTAAAAGAAACAAATTTGAGTATAACTCTTTTGGAATCTGAAGCTCTACTTAACAGATGTTGACTAATTAAATTTTCAAGGGCTAGAAACGCTAAAAATTCATGTTCTTTTTTAAAAAGAAAAAAAAAAAAAAAAAAGAGCTTCACAGAACTTCAACACTTCATCAATTTCAGCACTAAGCAAGCATCTGGCTCCACAAGAAGAGCGCCACGTGTTTACAAAGCACCACCACCTTTGATATTAGATGCAAAACTTCTACAGAGAAAGAACTTCCTTTTCAGCGCATTTTATAATAACTAGGTTAAAGATTTGAACTAGCAACATTTCATGCTCAGTATTTTGTATAATGTATGTATAAACTGATGATAGTGTGGCAATAGAGCTGCTTTGGAATACTTTTAGTAGCGGAGAAAAAAATCTGAAGGGGTCAAGTGGGATCTAGCCACTGTCCTCAGCCATCTGAGAAACTACAGAAACAACGGAGCCAGGCTCTTCTCAGTGTGAAGAGAACAAACACTAGAGGCAATATGAAGAGAAATGCCAAGAAGATCAAAGAAGATGAGAGCAGTGAAGGAGGGGAACAGGCTAGCCAAACAGACAAGGTCCTGAGCTGCCTGATCCACCTTGGAAGTTGGTTGGGCTTTGAGCAGCAAGCTGCTCTGCAGGACCCTCGGCAGCCCCTTCCACCCTAAGCGACTCCATCATTTTACAGAATTAACAGGAACAGTCTTTAAAATACAAAGGTGGTCAGCTTATGGTATGCATGAATATATTTTTTCCACTTTAATAGATACCTATTATACATCTGTGTTAAGAAACTTTTACCTGAATAGCTAGTTGCTGCTGCCTCTTACAATACTTATCTAGCTACAGTAATGGGAATCTCACAGGAATGAGACCTTTTCATATCTGTTGTAATAACCAGCCACATGCCTGCAAAGTGTGTTTGATAAAAAAAATTTCTTATCACTACTGTGGCCCAACAAAGTCCTTCTTCA